TCTCTTTACTTTTTGACCGATCTGGTGTAAAGATATTGTTTTCTAGTCTACATTCTTTCATTTCTTCCATTTTTTAAAAATTTCAAAAAAATTTTTGACCTTTCCCCCCCCTATGCCAACCCAAAAAAACTTTTTTTTTCATATTTTTCAAAAACAAACATCAGTTGCAAAACGCAACTCTAGTGTAAAAAAGTTATTTTTGACTCACGAAAAGTAATAAAGTAACAAGTAGTTGGTTGTAATAGGGCTGTTTCGATCTTTTGCCGCAGCTACAGTAAGATCGCTTTACAATGGGGGAGGCCTTGAAGTTACTTTCAAAGGTACTTACAGCAAATTGCATTGTTACTGGCGAGTAGTTTTTACTTTTTTGAATGTTTTTTGAAAAAAACTTTTTTTTTGAAAATTTGAAAAAAGTTGACAGGGGGGACCCTGTGGATTTTTTTGAATTTTTGTGAGTTTTTGCCATTTTTAAGAACTGCCATTTCATATTGATATACCTATAATATATTTTTTAAAACCCAAGTTTATTGCTGTGATTTCGCTTAAAATAGATTTTTTCTACCACTCCCAAAAAACTTACAGTAACCCATTTTCGTTTGCAGATGCCAGTAAGAAAAAGGACCAAAAGTGACAAGATACGATGATTACTTTACAATAATTTACTGTAAAGTCAGATGTTGATTAAAAATAGGCGGCGCATTCGAAATCATTTAATAGATAATTGATGGTGGGAGTGGTGATATATTACCATATATTATGCTTGGTGTATATAAATGTTTATGTTACGGTTATGTATACGTAGAGTGGGTATATATAGGTTTGTCTATATATCATAGGGGTGGTGATTCTGTTTAATGGATGCAGATTACTATTGACGTGATTTGAAATGGTTCTTTTGTATTTTTAAAATTGGTTTTGGGTTTAAAATGGTGGAAAGAAAGTTTTTGCGGTTTTTTAAATTTTTGAAAATTTTTGGTTTTATGGTATTTACTATGGCTTATATGGTGTATAAAGTCATTTTAAGGGCGCCTTACGCGATTTTAGGGGTATTACAAGTTGTAAAGAAAGTTTTTGCGGTTTCTGAAATTTTTTGAAATTTTGAATGAAGTTCATTTTTGTGCCATTCTATATTAGACTAACACCACATTACTTTGTTTTGGCTACTTTCAACGTTTTTTAACTACTTTAAAGATCCCCCATTTTAAACTTTCAACCCTTTATATATTTCTTACAACCATTAAAAAATCTTCAATCTCCTAAAGGCAATGTTACACCTTCGAAAAAGTCGTTGTAACGGGGTCATAAAACAGCCTTTATCAGAAGTGCTTTAGGGTAAGACGCGTCTTGTGACCGCTGATCAAACATTCTCGCTTATCGATGGGAAAGACACGTACATTACTATTTATAACGCCTGTCACTTGCCATTTTAAATAATCCTCTTCAGAAAAGGAAGTTTTTGAGGAAGAGTTTTGAATTCTGAGCTAAGGAGATTAAAGTGTTTGGGTTTTTATATGTTTTTAAGGGGGGTTTTTGAAAAAAGTTTAAAAAGTTGAGAAAATTCAGCTTGGTCCCCCCTGTGGATTTTTTTTTCAAAAAAATTAAAAAAATTTTTTTTTTGAAAAAACATTTAAAAATGAAATTTCATACTTATATAAAGCAGGTATAATCCAAAAAGAACAATGGAAAGGCGTGGTAGATTAAAAAAATTTTTTTTTGGTAATAGTTTTACAGGGGACCAAGGTCAACTTTTTTCAAATTTTTAGGAAAATTTTGGCTAAACTTTTTACGATATTACTAATAGATGAATGAAAAAGTGGAAAATGACATTATATTTAAAAAGGGGGTTTTGTCTTTATTCGAATGGGTTTTTTTCTTTTTTCATTGTTCTGGGACAATCGACCTTGTTCCTCTTTAATAACGTTACATGTTTAAATTACCACAGTTATTACGTGCAGTTTGCTCTAACATAATTGATATTGTATTTTTAAGAGATTTTTTTAATTGGGCTTTTAAATAGTATATTTTTGAAATTATTTTGATTTTTGTCAATTCGGCCGTACGTAAGTTGACAACTTGTAATTCGGCTGTACATAAGTTAAGGAAATTTACATATTTTAGGCTATTTTAAGTAATTTTAAGTGCCTTATGACAGTTTTACAATATCTCTTGACATTTTTAAACTTGTTATTTACTCTTAACATTATACTTTCACAAAACCATTGATATCATAAGCTATTTTTGTCAAATAACATCATTATTGAACTTTCTCTAAAACGCCATTATTTTTGCATTAAACTAAGTAATGGTGGCTAAAGTACGTACGTCGTTTTAAAGATTACATTGTAATTTTACAAATGGTGTTACATTGTCACAATGAGCTTATGAGATAAGTATTACAATATGTTGTAGTAGGGTGAATGATATTGTAGTAGGGTGAAAGCTATTGTAATAGAGAGAGTATTGTAAAATACTTATAGGGCATGTTACACAGATTGTGTCACTACTTTTATGTTGTAAAAGATTTATGGTTATGACAGTTTAAGAGGCTTTAGACGGGGATATAGTAGAGCAATATATTTGATAAGTAAGTGTAATATAAGTAGGCATATCTTTGTCAGCAGACGTATGATTGTATAGTTTATTGTCGTATATGATAACTAAGGGCCTTGTGTAGTACTAGAAAAAAGGTGAGTGTCATACTGTTTTTTATATTCTTACTGTAACATTTTATCTTAAGCATATGCAGTTTTATAGAAAATTTTCAAATTTTGAGTTTTTATGCCATTTTTTATGCGACCTCTAATATGAAACCTTACTAAAACCGTATTAAAATGTACCTTAGTCACTGTAGAACAATTTAAAATATCATATTATATCTAATCTCACCTCTACAGCTTCGTATAATTCAAATACTAACATACGTTCAAGACTAATATATATTACTCAGACCTTTATTCCTTTTGCTTTTTAATCTAAAACTAATCTACATATACGTTCTCGTCATTACTGTTTAACTATTTACGTAGCGCCGGAAGGCTTAAAGCGATTAAAATGGAGGGAAATTAAAAATTTTCGCTCCCATATTAAACATGTTGTCAAATGTGTTTACGTTCAGTTTTTAGGGCTTACAGTAGGGCTAAAGGTGGCTTTGGAGGTGGGGAAATGTGAAATATTTTTGGTTTGAAATTTTGAAGGTTAAAAGTATTAAAATATGTTTTTGCTACAGCTACATAACTTTTTTTTTTAGGCACTAACTACGTTGCTTTGCAGCCAAACTTCTGGGTTTTTTCTTTGATGTCAAGTGTAATATAAATCATTATATAAAATTTTCGGCTGGACCAAATTATATGGTTTTGGTGTTAAACGATAGCCTATTATCTTATAAAAATTTCCTGTAAATGTTATAGTTTTACTATGTTACATCTTTACATACGACATCTTTTACTAAACCCTATACTCTAATATTTCTTTTTATGTCAAGTATAACATAATAAGTTATAAAAAATTTTTGACTTGACGCATTATAACATTTTAGGCAACAAATGATAGCTTATCATCTTATCACACTATTTTATAAATACCATGTTTATACTGTGTCACATTTTATCAAAAAATCATTTTTTGCAAACGCAACTTTTTATTTTTTTTGTAAATTTTTGCTGATACCAAGTATAATATAATGAGGCATAAAAATTGTTTGGCTTTATCAGTTTTGATAAAATTAGTTGCAAATGAGAGAGCAGGATCTTGGTAATGTATACTGTATTGTAGAATTGAATACTGTGGTTTATAATTGACATACGAAGCTTTTTTGGTGATACACTACGTTTTTTGAAAATTTTTTATATTTTTTGGATTTTCAGTTATTTCTGGGCACTTTTTGACCGGGTTGGTATTTTAGGATCTTAGGTTGTTCTGTAGACTTTTTGACCTGATTTATCTTTCTTTCTTCTTTCTATACCTACTATAGGAAGAGGTCCTATACTTACAAGAAGGGCCCTTATACCTACATGTAGCTCTTCCCCACTTCATAATAACAGTTCCTATACCAACAAGTAGCCCATCCCCACGACAATCCCTGCCTGACGTCAGTGTCTTGTTACAAAAACAAAAAACCATTCCCTTCCCCGTCCGCAGCCTTATCAGCAGCCATTTGGGTTCCGACACGAAAGTACAAAAGTGGATTCTTTTGGGTCACGCCATTCGTTTTGAGTGAAATCGACGTGAATTACAAGTGTTTACGTGATATAATTAGGGTATTTGGGGCGTGTAATTGCGGAAATTCTAGGCCAGCTTGAAGCGGATGTTATTATGCAAATTTGTTTTTGTTTTGAAAGACTTTTTTTGGGGTTGGAGGGGGTTAGGGATGGATTTTTAGGGGTTTGGGGGTGTTTTGTGGGGTTTGGGGGTTTTTTTTTATTTGGGGGGTGTTTTTTTTGATTGGGGGGGGAGGGGGGGGGGTGTTTTTTTTTGGTTTGTGGGTGTTTTTGTTGGTTTTTGAGGCTTTTTTTAAGGTTACAGTAGATCTGCGGGATTTTTTGCATAATATTTTTTAAAATTAAGGTCTTGTCTCATCAGAAATGGCAAAAAAATAAATTTTTCAAAAAAAATTTTTTAATTTTTTTAAAATTTATTTAAATTTTTTACTTTTTTGAATTTTTACGTGCGTCGCGGCCTATACCCCAAAAATAAATTCAAAACTAATCACCCCACCCTTTCAGATCTCAAAATTTACCGGTTCCAAAAATCGCCTCCTCGTTAAGCAAAACGTGTCTACTTTAATATTATCTCCGTTAATATAATCGAGTACTGTAAATATAAACCTTCATCGTGCATTAAATCTCTTCGGATCGGATTCTGGACGAATTCCCTCCATACCTCAACACTGTTAATATCGTACTGTCGAGTACGTGTTTGATTACTGTACTACTTGGTACGGATTTGGTTACTGTACTATTGAGTACGAAATTTGATAAAAACTACTGTTAATACCGTGTGCAATGTTGGTCGTCTACTCAGCACCACAACGTTCCTGGTTCACGCCCGCCCAACGTGCTTCATCGTCCGCCTTCGAAGCCATGCCTCCTCGACCATGCACCGACCGCCGTTTGCCGGTCCAGCCGAGTCGGGAGGAGTCGCTACGACGCCTAGTCCTTTGCCATTCCATGGCCAAGAAGATCAAGTACGCCAAAGAAGAGGTGGGTCTTATAAATATTGTCATATAGGTCTTATAAATAGTGGCATAGGCTAAAATTTTCATTATTTTTTCGTTTTTTTCACTTTTTAAAAATTTTTTGATTAAGAATAAGTTTTAGTACTGTTAGTACTAGTTGGTAGTTTACTAAATGTTAAATATAATACAATAAACTTTATTCTTTTCTCTTCAGGAAGAACGTCAACGTCGCAAAATGGAGCAAAAACGCCGCGTTCAACATGTGAAACAGTTGAACTCGTCGAGATTGTATGCTCTGCAAGACGAAGTAAGTATCTAAATTTGTTTTAATAGTACTAATAAGGTTTTCAACACTTTTTTTATTAAGTGACTCATTTTGAATTATATTAAAGATAAAAAAGTTTAAAAAGTCTTTTTTAATTTGATGTTTGGAGACAATCGGCGTACTTTACCCATAACTTTTTGACCGGTTAATATTTTTGGAAAAGTGTTTTACCATGTGATACCATGTTATCTTTTCATGATTTTACGGGATTTTTAGAATTTTTGATGATACGTCTAAAAAGTTATGGCAGTTTGAATTCAATGACCTCTTATATCCAAACTTTTCAATTTTTTGAAATTTCTTTGGTCATAATTAAAAAATTTGAATACCAAACAATATGAAACTTACAAAGTAGCTTCTAAATAGTCTTCTAAACCACCACCTCAAAAATAATAAAAATCAACCGACATTAACCTTATTAAAAATCAAAAAAAGTCTTTATCACCCATATTAACCACCCCGCTTTCAGCACCTCACTCTTCCGAAACGCCGGCATGTCGAACTGTCGTTGATCGACGACCTGTGCCAACCCATGGATCGGTCCAGCGACCCGCTTCAGCCGCTGTTCCACTCATCGCCTTTCGATGAGCCTGCGGACGATATGCCACCATTGATTCAGAGCGTGGTGGACTTCCTGATGGACGCCTGACTATTCGCATATCAGCCTACGAGTTAGTGTTTTACCGCGGTATTTTACTGTGGTATAGCTGTCGGAATTCGGGGTTAGTTTTTTGGATTCTGAAGCTTGAGTTTTTGGATTGTCAATTTTGGTTTAAAATTCAAATTTCAAGCCTCAAAACCAACGGCCATTCTCAAATAACGACGCTAAACACTATAAACTAGTTATGTATAGACTGTACAAACCTCACCCCCCCCCCCCCATTATGTATATTTGAACGTTTGTGGTACAAACAAAGACTTCTCCTACAGAATTTTAATTCACCGGTTTCGACTCTTGACAATACTTGTTACTTTTGACATTTCTCTTCTCGTTCAGGTACTTTTCTTTATGACGTGTTGAATTTCTATTGTACATTCGTATAAATTTGTATTCCCATCTTGTTAAGATGTGGTTTCGTCGTATAAGATGTCGCTTCATCGTATAAGATGTCTCTTCATCGTATAAGATGTGCCCTCATCGTATAACATGTCTCCTTTTGTAAAAATTTTATGACATGTTTAATGAACGGTCAAAAAGTTCATAGAATCCTAAATTTTCAAAATTTTTTGAATTTTTCGTTTTCTAGGAACTTTATGACCACCTCGTCCACAGAGTGGGAGTGCTGGCGAGATAAGAAGCAAAAGTAATCGTATTTTAGGGGATAGGGCTGTAGAAAGTTTAAAAATAGATTCTAGAGACTCTGTAGTTATTTTGACATATTTTGGTAAAATTTCAAAAATTTTAAAATGACCTTTTGAGGTTTTTTGGCTAAAATTTGCCCTTTTTCGACCAAAATTTGCTATTTTTCAACATTTTTTCAAAATTTTAGATAATAAAACCAAACTTTTTTGCCATTTTTAAACAGCACAGTAAATTTCGCGTATTTTAAAACCTAGTCTAGCAAGCAGCACTCTCCACCCGACCTTCTTTACCGCCTCTAGATATCACAAAGTTTTAACGAATCCGGGCTACAATACTATTTATCCCCTAAAGTTATATTTATTCCAAAGGGTCTAGTGTTACTGTTGAGTTATGCCATTCAAGGTTAATATTTGTTGCAAATTGTGGTGGCGGGTTGCGGCGTTGATCGATTTTTGGTCGAGTTTTTTTTGGACGAAATGTCACAAAATTGGAATTTCGAAAAAATTTTGAATTTTTTGAAATTTTTTTCCGTATTTTAAAAAAAATTTAAATTTTTACGAAATTTTTTTCAAAAAAACCTCCAAAAAATCGATTATCACGCCCAATTCCAAACCGCCACACCTTTATTATACTTCTCCTCTCATCCCCCGAACGTGTAATTCGAGCCTTGTTGACAATATTGTATAGATGTAAATTATAATGTTGTAATAAAGTTCTAGCTAATTAATTTTGGATTTGAATTCTTTTAGATAATTTATTTAACCCATTTGAAATAGCCGTATTTAACAAAGCAATCAAAAACCTCAAAAGTTCAAGAAAATTTTTAAAAAAAGTAGGCTACGGTAAAAGTACTGTAACTTTTGTATTACTGTAAACTTCAAAACTTTTTTAAAACTTTTAATGGACATATATATTAGGCCACAAAAACACCAAATTTAAAGTTTTTACATAATTTTTTCGAAAAGTTACAGCTAAAATCAAATGAAGATTGCCCTATCGTACTACACCCTACTCCACCCTTGCTCTAGGCCTACCTTCCTACCTTACCCTGCCTACCATCCCTCGTTTTATTTTACCTTGTAGGACTATATCATACAGTAGATACCCTACTTTACTACCCAAACCTAACTTACTCTACTCTACCCTACCTACACTATCCTACCCTACCCTTACCCTGCCTTGCGGTACAACATCTCGATAAAAGACCAGTGTTGAAGCTAAAGTCTGATGCTAGAGCTCCCACCATAGCTTATATGTCCTACTCCCTCCCCTTCCGTAGAATAAAGTAGAGTAAATTGACAATTTTCCATTTTCAAGCCATTTTACTAACTATTTACCTCATTAAGATGCTTAATATAGCCTTATAACCATTAGCCAAGCCATTTCATTCATATATACACTTTATATTATACACCTCAACACTTTACTCAATCTTTCTTAAACGTTTTCAAGTTGTCACTGACTTTGAAGTCCGGCTCAATAGTATTTAGAATGTCTTCCACCTTCAAGTCTTCTCTCAACTCCATCAAGGTTAGTCCATTAACCGGATCCACATCGAAGACTGCCATTTCGGTGATGATTCGAGTCACAACATTCATTCCTGTCTTTGGCAAATTGCATTTTTTCAAAATTTTCGGTTTTCCCTTGGCCAAATGCTCCATTGTCACTACGACACGACTTCCTGGTGCTCCGACCAAATCCATGGCTCCACCCATGCCTTTGACCATTTTGCCTGGGATCATCCAATTAGCCAAGTCGCCGTATTCGCTGACTTGTAGGGCTCCTAGTACTGTGATGTCAATGTGGCCACTGAAAAAGTAGAGATGTTACCAAGATAGAGAAGTTAGTAAGATATTAGATTGTTCAAATAATTCTGAGCCACCCAACCTCAAAAAACCGAATTGATAAAGAAGGCTCAGAATTATTTGAACAACCTAATAGTAAAGTATAAAAAGATATAGATGTCAGTAAGATATTAGTTGTTCAAATAACCTGAGCCCCAAACCCCGCAAATTTGCTTTGAAAGGTAGCTCAGAATTTTTTGAACAGCCTAGTAATAAGCAAAAGCAATTTGAGTTTAGAAAATGTTGCTGTATCAAAGCTACCAGTAAATTCTAGAGCCTTTAACGCACATTTTTTTAAATTTTGGGTAAATTTCAAAAATTTTAAATGACTTTTTTAGTTTTTTCAACAAAATCCGCTGAATTTTCACCATTTTTCTTCCATTTTTTAAAAGTTAACACCATTTTTAAAATTTTTTAAAATTTCATCAAAATTTACTAACACCTACACTGTGTTTTTTACAAAAAATCACAAAAACCCACCCCCTAACCATAGCAAAACTCTCGTCCGATCCAAAGACAGCAGCTCCTTTCTGCAAAGTGATCGTCTCCTTGCCAGCGTTGATCAAGTCAGCATCTTCACTTCCCTTTTTCGGATATGGGCCTACTCCAATTACTCCGTTTTCACTTTGCAAATGAACATTCACACCTTTTGGAAGGTAATTCGGGCACAATGTAGGGATTCCAATACCGAGGTTGACTAAAATAACATTATTTACTTTATCAATAAAAAAGTTGTTTTAAGCCAACTCTTAATGCCATTTTAGATAAGACACAGCTGATTATAACCTTATAGTTCATTAAAAAAGCAAGTCGATGATATAACACTTCAAACCTTACCGTACATGCCATCTTTGAACTCCAAAGCAGCTCGTTTGGCAATGATTTGTCTGACCTTCTCGCCTTCCGATTTTGGAGCTTGATTTCCATCGTTTTCGTCGAAGAATTTCAATTTTTCGATTCGTTTTTCATATTTCTCTCCTTTGATTATCCTGTTGACATAAACTGAAGGTACATGAACTTCATGCGGCTGAATTTCGCCTGGTTCCACGAGTTCTTCGGCTTCCACTATCGTTACTTTCGCTGCTTTTGCCATTGGAATGTTAAAATTGCCTGTTGTGTGCCTAAATTTTATTCGTAGAGTTTGAATTTTATTATTTTAGGTAGTACATGTGATTTTGTATAGAAAACCTCGTGTTTTTTCGCTTTGCTTAAACTATACTGAACATTTTTTTGTATCAAACTCAATATTTTTCCTTTTTTTATATTACACTTAATACCTAAGACATTTCAAAAACTAGATTAAACAATATATTACCTAAAAACCAAATTTCCCAACGTGTCTGCCTTCCATGCCTTAATCAAAGCAAAATCTCCCGTAATCGCTTCTTCCAAAACATAGTTAATATCGTTGATCTTCCTGGTTTCTTTCCCACTGCTCGCCAGCTCAATCTCCCCTTTCTTCTCCTTAGAATACCTAATCGGTGATCCACCTTGCTCAATTAGTGTACCATAACCAGTCGGAGTGAAGAACGCTGGGATTCCTGCTCCGCCAGCGCGGATTCTTTCTGCCAACGTGCCTTGAGGCGTGAATTCAAGCTCCAACTCTCCAGACAGATACTGACGTTCGAATTCTTTGTTTTCTCCAACATACGACGAGATCATCTTCTTCACTTGGCCTGTTCTCAACAGCTTTCCCAGACCTACATCATCAATACCCGCATTGTTGCTAACACAGATGAGGTTCTTCACGCCCAGAGTTGTTAAAGCTTCAATTAGGTTTTCTGGGATACCACAGAGTCCAAATCCTGTAATTCTAAACTTAGTTGAGTTGATTTACATTGGTTTAAACAAAGATCTAGCCAATTGTGTCTATGACAACACGTTGGTCAAGACAAGAGTCCTAAGAGAAACAAAATAAGAAAAAGTTACCTCCAACAAGAAGTTTAGAACCATCTTCAATGTCTTTTACAGCTTCTGACGCACTTGAATATACCTTTTTGGACGAGAAAAACCTTCTGCCCAGTATAATGTGGCTCTAAAACAATATTATTGATAAAATACGTCCTTTTAGTTGAAATAAATGTCGAAACCTTTGTCAACAGCTCTCACAAACTAATGAAAACGTTCTAAAGACCAATTCCAACTATGTAAACTTCATTCCCACCTAAAAATCAACAAAAACAACAACAAACCCTTACCTTTTGTCCATTCCGAAGCAGAAGAGCCAGGTTAAATCGCTGAACGACCATTTTAATCTGTTAGAAACTTCAATATGAGAACAAAAATAAGAGCAACCAACTTTTAAAAGGTAAGAATGATAATTTGACCAAACAACAATCACTGAATGTTCTGTGATTTGAGTGAAAAACAACAAAAAAGTCGAGGTTTGGTGTCTGTTTCGCAGTTGAAACTCGTTTTTACACGTTTTTTAAAGATAGAAAAGTAAATTTTTTTAAATATGGTAAGAAGGTAGCGTTTAGAACATAATAATATAAGTTTTCAATAAAATATACAAGTTGTTTCAATTAAAAATGGCATAAGAAGTGTTATTCTACTTCATATTTTACCGAAAAATATTTATTTATTTGCGCAAGTTGCGCCCAACTTATAAATTTAAAAGTGCAAATTTGAAAATTGAAAAAATCAACATTTCTACACATATTTATTCAAATTATTTATGAAATTCGTATTTATATCTATCTAATCTACACGTTATGACAAAATGTAAGAAAATGCAAAGTAATATACTTTTGATCACGAAATAAATTAAATTCAGCTTAAGACACATACAGCTAGGTAAAGTTATTCAAAGAGGTGCCGGTTTTCACTTAAAAGTTTACAATTTTAACCTAACAAAAGAAAATAATTACAAATTAAGCCTAAAATCAGTCTTAACATCACAATAAAAGCCTAAAGTCAATCTTACCATCACAATATGAGGCTAAAAGAACCATCCATAACCTAGTCAGTTTATTTGTACTGCTCGATGAACTTCTTGTGAAACGTTGCGAATCGTTCCAGCATTTCCTTGGTCAGTGCTGGTTGTGGTAGGATAGTGGTTCTGAAGTGATATGTCCCATCTCTTTGGCCGAAGCCTGATCCTGGTACCACGCAGATGCCGGTGTTCTCCAGAAGCTGTTTACAGTAGAAAAAGTCTGGTGCTACCCCAACCGAATGGGCAGTGTCGATTGCTTTTTGGGGTAGTTCGATTCTTGGGAAAGCATACATGGCGCCGGTCACTTCGTTACACTTGACTCCTTCGATGGCGTTGTAGGCTTCGGATACCATCTTGGCACGCTCTTTCAGTGAGTTCAGGACGTCGGTTTTTTCCTGTAAAGGTCATTTTTTAATTATTTTTAAAAATTTTTTAAAAGTTCCAAATTTCAAAAAATGCCCTCAAAACCTAAAATTTCAAAAAAAATTAAAAACCTGAAACCCATTATAGTAAAACCCCTACCTTAAGCCACAAATCATAGCTCTCATCGCCAGGTTTTGGTGGGTTAACAACCGTATCAATCACAGCTTGTCCCAGTACTGATGAGCACAGCTTGGCACTGATCATCTTCTTGAACTGAACGTAGACTTCTTTGTCCAGATTCAGGAACTCCACGTAGCCTCCACGCATTCCACACTCGCCCATGTAGCCTTTGGAGACCGAGTAAAAGGATGCTAGTTCAACTCTAAAAAAAGAATTGCAATATTAAAATCAACTACCCTCTCCCTCCTTACCCCGAAGCATAAGGTTCGCCCAGTTCAACCAAAGTTTTCTTGAAGGAATGGAACTTCTGTCCCTCCTTGTACACATTCTCTTGATATACTTCATCAGCAAAGACGAACAGCTTCTTGTCGTAGGCAAACTTGAGAATTTCTTGAATGTTCTCCTTTGACAAAACTTGGCCGGTCGGGTTGCCTGGGTTGATAACAACCAAAGCCTTGACATCAAACTCGTTTTCGGCTTCTTTGAGAGATCTGTCCAGTTCTTCAATGCTCAATCCCCAGCCATTGTCTTCGTCCAGGAAGTAGCCAATCTAAAATGGGGTTGGTATATGTAGTATTTTAGGTGTATTTTGATGAAGAGCTGGTTATTTAGGGTGTGTCTTGATAAACAGGTAGCCTTTAGAAAAATTATCAGTTCCAGGATAATATGTTAGTTATGTTTTGTTAAATCTTACCTGCCCAAGATGAAACTCTTCAATTGAAGCTGAATATAAAGGATATTGGGGAATTGGGATCATGATGCCAGCCTTCTTGTTTTTGTCTCTTCTGATGAACAACTTCAACAAATTCTAAAAAATATGAACGAAATTAGGTAACAATTAAAGGTTTGCTTTTCATATTTTTAAGCTCCGGTCGTTTTATTACCTAAAATTTAAAAAAATCTACCTTATAGCATAAAATCTTTAAAAAACTATATTTTGTTACCTAAAATAAAAAAAAACCTTGTTTTATTACCTAAAAATATTCAAAATCTCAACTTTATTCCCCCATAATACAAAAATCTTCACTTCAACCCAAAACCATCAAAATTTCTCGTCTTATTACCTAAAAAATAAAAAATAACCTCAAAACCCTTACCCTAATCGACTCCGAAGCTCCTCCAGACAAAATGACGTTCTCAGAATCCGTTGGAATTCCACCATCTCTGGCAGTGATGAATTCAGCTACATGTTGTCTGATGATTTCAACTCCAGTCGACTGACTGTACGCTCCAGCGCTTTTACCGCCACAGCCATTAAGAATATCTTGAGCGTGCTTTTTTACATCCGACGGAATATCAGATGACTCCAGAAGTTTTGGGTATGCCACACAAGCTAAGACTTGTCTGATAAAAGTGATTGGAACTTGGCCCATCGCATGTGCATCTCCAATGTTGGCTTTGATCACATTTGAAAAAGGATGTGGTTTACCCTAAAAACAGATAGAGTTACCGTAAAATCGATATAACCTAACCGAATGCCAACCAAAATTTCTAGAAACCAACCAAAACATGCATTATTACATTCTTTTCAATATTTTTAACTCAATTTTCTAAAAAATCATCTATTCGCACAAATTTGATTTCATATTACCCATGCCCACCTGTGCCAATTCTTTTTCCAGCTCCACGGCCCTGATGACGATAGGTCCACGCACAGCATATTCCATGCTCTTTACATTGGGATTGATGTTGTCGTAGTGCAACACCTTTTTCGACGCCATTTTCGAACTTTCACTGAAATAGACAGCAGAAATTCGAAGGAGCGAATTTTTGTTCGACCGAAACAGTTGGTTCAATCCGTTATTCATGCTGAAAACAGGAAAAAACGCTTGAGGGGTTTTTTAACAGAGATGAGAAGACTTCATGGGGATTGAAAAGGGCTTCCCCGGGTTTGAACTGTAAACAAACAGCATATGAGCTTAAACTTGATCTACTTTAAGATAACATTTGCTTTTTTTTGCACTTTTTAAAACTTTGAATGTAATGAAATTGCATCTTTTAGCTTATTATTAATCTATTATAACTTTTCTAATCAAAATACATCTCTATAAAACGAAAAACAAAATTATTGACCAATTTCCGGTATTATCCATAACCTTGATGTAATCTTACGCTTCCTCCCAAAAAACCACTTTGAAATTCCTACACACATAATTTAAAACGTTCTTCAATCTTTTTGAAACTCCTAAACCCATTTCCTTCAGTTTTTGACTCTTTTTCCCTCTCATATTGTCTATGACAACAAACCCTCCCCAAAACCTAAACCATTAGCTTTTCCGTAAGCCGTAAAAACAACTTGAAGCCATTGAAATAGCAAAATTTTAATCCGTTTTCTCTCCCGATGCTATCTATACACATTTGCTATGTCTTTCCCATGAGAAAATTCCATTTATATTAGTTGGGTAAATCTAAACATGAAAAACGATGTAAAAACAAAGAACTTACTGAAATCTGACAAAATTAGTGTTTAACTAGTAAGTTTTTAGTTAGTTTGTTGACTTGCCGGCCGGGAGTGTTGTTTTGTCCAAAATAAATGCTGTTTCGGCCGTATTTTTGCTCAAAAACAACACAATTCTCGGCCAAAAATAAGTTGTTTTTACGGGTTCGCGGCCTAGGGTTTGCGGGCTGCGGAGTTTTTTATACTGAAGAAAATATTTGAACTGCCATGGCATGCCATTTTTAATGATAGAAAAACTCAAAAAATAGTTTTACAAACCCATATTTATTATTTCCCCATCCAAATCCCTTCATTTCAAAGCCATTTTACTTCATTTTTCAAAGTTTGATCAAGTATAATATGCCCTTTGGCCTTTTTGTTCCCTCTTGAAGTCCCCTCATGTCAAGAGTAATAAAACATGGTTATTGTCGTCCCCCACACACTCACCTGACCTCAGACACGTTGATCTCTCGGCAGCAATGTTTGTGACTGACCTTTGCTTCGTTTTTTATCAGAAAAACGGAAAAATAAACGTTTATTGATAAAGAAAGTGATAAGTCTACAAACTAGCGGCTACAATATTGTGGAATTTAAACTGTTTCAATGAAAAACGTGTTTTAAATTTTTTAAATATAAAGTTAGAGTGTTAAAAAGTGTTTTTAAATAATTTTCGGGTTCAAAAATATGTTTTGAAGGGATAACCTAACCTAAACAGCGTTTAAAGCTGCTTATCCTCAGGGTTTTAAAATAAAAATGTAAAAAATAAGGTTTTATAAGCCACTCTTTCGTACTACAGCGGTGGAAGTCGTATTTTACCATATTTTTTGTAACGAAAACCCAACTGTTTTCGGTCGAACAACTAAAAATTCGTCAAAAAACGCAAAAAAATGACAAAAATAGTACAACAAAAATCAAAAATAGCAAAAGTAATGTAAAGTTGTTCAAACACATAATCGTATATTGAGCTATAAAGTATTTCTAATAAGTATATTTTTTTAAAAAGTGCATTGAGACTAGATAAAAGTTAAGAAAAACGTATATATACTGTCATAAACAGGATGAAAATGAGGGAAAATGGTTTTTTACGTCTTTTTTAACAGTACAAGTATATAACCCTTGATGTATATACTTTTCATTCGTAGTGCAGACGAAAACCTTGAATTTTTGTCCACGAAAAATCTCTCATAATTTTGCGCGTTCTCTAGTTTTTCTCTAATGCCGACGGCAATCAGACAAAAAGAGGGAACATACAAAATTATGAGAGCTTTTTTCGTGGGCAAGAATTCAAGGTTTTCGTCTGAACTACGAATGAAAAGTATATACATCAAGGGTTATATGTTGTGTTAGATACATAATTTACACATATACACACCCAAGATTCCCTCTCTCTCTCTGAAAGGCTCTACTACCCTGAAAGGATCTACGCATACCTTAAAATACCAAAATTTATCATCCCCCCCGCCGTCCCTTTTGAACCCACTTTTTAGGCCCGGCCCAGGCCCGGGGCCCAACGTTTAGGCCCGGCTCGTTTTCAATTTTCTCTCAGGCCGGCCCGGTCAGAAACTTTCTATGGCCTGGCCCGGCCCGTTTTAAAAAATTTTAAAAATTTTAAAACTTAAAAAATAAACGGAAATTTGGCTTTGCATTGTTCTTTTAGATCATTTATGTATCATGGTACCCAATAAAATCAAAAAACATCAACGGGGATTGAAATAAAAAATTTTTAAAAATTAAAAAATTTTTTTTTTCGGGCGTGGGCCCAATTTTCAAGCCCGGCCCGTTTCAATTTTAGCTCAAGGCCGGCCCGGACCGATCGTAGGGCCGGGCCGGGCCTAGACGGCCCGTTTCTCACCCCTACTTTTGAAAAACTCTACCACGCATGCCCTACGTTACCATACCCAAATTTATCACCCTTACCTCCTCTCTCCTTCCTTCCCCTTCTTTGAATGCTCTGCCACATCTGAAGGTGGCCCTAAACTAAAATATTTGTTTATTATAACATAATTTGTAAGCCTACCATCATGATACATCTGTAAACAAATATCATAAAAATAAAACATGTTTCAAAAAGGTAGATCAAAAATCGGTGTAATAAAGCATGATTACTTTATGTTTTACTCTTTTTATGAGAAAAAAACTCGACGTCAATCATATATTGACAACGTGTTTGCGCTTTGCTTACAATTTATTATAAACTAAATAAATATAGCCTAAATCAGTAAAACACTATCCAGAAAATCAAAGAAAAAAGTCTTTTTAAAAACAAAAAAATATTAAAGAAAAAATATTCAAATTTTTAAAACTAAAAAACATGATTTCCCTGGTAAAACGTGATTTTTAAAACTTTTTCTGGAATAGAATGAATAGGAAGGTCAAACATAGAAATGAAAAAAATATAATTGGATTGGTTTTTACGAGGTTTTTAGAAAGTACCTCACATTATAATGGTAACCAGGGCCGGGCGGGGACTTTTGGTCTGGGGGCAGGGGTCCAAAAAATCGGCACAGGGCTACCTGTGCCGATTTTTTGCGAAAATTTTTTTCCGAAAATCCACAGGGGGACCACGTTCAACTTTTTTCAACAATTTTTTTTCTGTACCCCCCTCCCCCGTCCCCCCCCTCGCGCCCGCCCTGATGGTAACAAAAAAAATTTATGAAAAACCATGGTATAAAATAATAAACTCATAAAACGGAAAAGATACTTTTTTGAAAGACAAAATTCTAAATTTAATTTAAATTTCTGAAACTGACGTACGGAGATGCATTCAAAGCACATTTTCATAGTATTATATTATACATGATACATAAGTTAGGCATATGTAATGAAACAAAAGTAAAAATTAAAATCTAAAGTAAATGCTGAACTACGGCCAGGGCCGGGCGCGAGGAGTTAGCGTTTTTTACAGTATGTATAATACTTGATACAGAAGTTCGTTATAAAAGAGTCTGTTATAGAGAAGTTTGTTATACAGGAGTTCCACTGCAAATTTAGAAGATAGTTTAACAGAAGAAATTGTAGAATAAAACAGCTCAAACAATGGTCTAGGTGAGCCAATTTTATTGTTGTTGCTAATTAAAATCTTCTTATAAACACAAGTAATCCTATTTGAAAAAATTGTAATAGTGAATTGTAATGTTTGTAACAATAAAGTAAATTACTGTGGAGCCCCTGTATAACTAACGCCTCTATTATAGACATGAGAAACGGGCCGGGCCGGCCTTGAGCAAAATTCCGATCGGGCCGGGCCTAACATTCAAGCCCGGTCCGTTTCTCATGTCTACTCTATAAAAAAATTTCGTGTTAAAACTTCTATCTATAACGAAATTACTGTAAAAGAAACTGTATATTGAAAACCCCGTATTACAAACAATTTTAACAGTTCCAGACCATTCGATGTACAGGAGTTGTACTGTAGGGTGTCAAACTTCAAAAACATTATGTGTATATAATGATTACTGTACTTTTTGTTGCTTTTATTATAGCATTATATTACACTGCTCTTAATATTACACTGGTCAAAACAAGATGTAATTCATACAATAATGCTACATATTCCATGTCATTTCAATAATGTTGCGATAAACAAACCAAATAAGTTGCTACAAGACTTGTAGTTTTAAACGTTGATCACTTTCCAAAACACAAAGCGTTGGTCTCAAGGAAATACGTCTATATTATACTACTTTACAAAATTTTCCAAATTATTATACTAGTTTAAATATATTTTTAAAAAACCATGTCAGAACTGATTACCAAACGTGAACCACCGTTCTTCTACATCACATTCAAACGACCGGCCAAGAAGAATGCTTTCAACGCTGCGGTAGGTTTTTTAAAGTTTATAACTTGGCAGACGACCATCTTGAATTATTAGTCATTTTATATTTATTCATTAGAACTAGTCAGGTAAAGAGCGCAAACCCAATATTTCGGTCCGGCCTTAGAGCCTACTTGTGCTCGCCCGCCTTTTTCAATTTTACCTAGGCCCGGCCCATCCGCTTGTATAAATTCATAAAATAATAACTGAGACAATTTGTATTGATCTGAGCCGGGGCCAGACCAAGTGGGTCTCCTTTCAGGTCACATTAAGAAGGGTTTTACGCCTTTTGCTAGTCAAATATTTTACTGAACTAAGGCTCCTGCGAGTTTTTACTGCAAGACCTAGGGCTCCTGTGGCTTTCATTTAGTCCTTGCTCTTGAGTCCGCATGAACTGAAATAGCCCGGCCACTTTAAAATTAGTTTTAAACCGGCCCAAGCCTAGAGTACTTGCTCACTTACAGATCTAGTTAGTACTAAAGCTTGTAATAATGTTTCAACAAAATAAAGTAAAAATAAAGTGAAATACGTTTTTTGATATTCACCTTGACTATAATATGATATTATTCATAATCAAAACGCTTTTAGATCTACCAAGAACTACCTAAAATTGTGAATCAAGTCAATAAAGACGAGGAGATAGTCTTCACCGTTTTCACTGGTACGTTTGATCATTTTTGTTAAGTCTTCATTTTTATGTTCATTTCTGTATACTGTAATTTTTTTCAGGAAATGGCGATTTTTTCAGTGCAGGTACAGAGCTCAACAGTAATAAATTAGAAGATCAAGGGTAAGTGTTATACTAAACAAGCCGATATCAATGTTTTATACAGATCAGGCCAGCTTTCACAGTTAATTTTTAAATTTAAAAATACTAGTTTGTTCAGATAATTCTGTGCCCCTGACCCCAAAAATTTGGTTTGAAAGAGGGGACATAATTACTTGAATATCATGACACAAGTAAAGAAAAATTTTAATTTTCAGATCTGGCTCATTCAAGCCTCCGTATGGCCCATTGGCAGAGGAGATGATCGAGCATAAGAAGATATTGATTGCTCTTCTCAATGGACCAGCTATTGGCATTGCAGCCACTTTGTTGAGCTTGTTCGATCTTGTCTTAGCTAGTGATCGGGTAAGTCTATTTGAAAAAAATACCCTACCTTACATTGCCCTACCCTATCCTATAGTAACCCTACCCAGCCCCACCCTACCTTACCCCACAACACCTTACCTAAAATACAAATTCAGGCATACCTCCTAGCTCCATTTGCAAAGCTAGGCCTACTTGCCGAAGGCACATCATCAACCAATTGGCCTCAGCTTATAGGCCGAATCAAGACGGCCAAACATTTATTGTTTGCCGAGCCGATATCAGCCAAAGAAGCTCATCAAAGTGGCTTGGTATCTCACGTCTACCCTCATGACAAGTTCGAGGAAGAGTGTCAAAAGTACTTGAAGTATCTGACTACACTGGCACCTGGGGTATGGCAGTTTTTTCTGTTTTTATAAGCTAATTCTCAATTTTTTTAATGATCACAATTACCCATTTAAGCCTTTTTTAACTAAAAACTATATTATACTACCTGATTTCAGTCCCTACTGATAACCAAAGAATTGATGGTCAAGAATCTTCGTCCAAACTGGAGAAATACGCACGCCGATGAGATGAACGCCTTGATTCTTCGCTCCAAAGACAAGGAAATGTTCGATTTCATTGCCAAATCCATTCAGCAACGAAAGTCTAAGTTGTGATTGGATTATCTACTACAATATACTAGATTATCTACTCTAATATGTATACCATGCCATAAGTTGTGGCCACAACTTGCAATCTACTACAATATATAATATCACACCTTTATATATGCCTTTTAAGTTATAAATCAGGCCTTTTTTCAACTTTTTGAATACTATTAGGTAGTTCAAATACTTCTATGCTCCCTAAACTCAAAAATTTGCTTTGAGAGGAGGCACATAAGTATTTGAACAGCCTAGTATCATATAGGTTGCCAAAACATTTTAAAGCTTTTCATCTCAAAATTACATCAGCCCAGGCTTCTCGCTACTACAATATAGTATAGTAAGTTCCTACCTTCCATAATATAGTATATTAAGTTCCTACATACTACAATATACGTTGAGCGGTGGCAGCGCCGACCAATGAAGAATAAAGTATACAATAATATAAATCATGGTAAGTTCTGTTGATATTATTACAGGTTTCTTCAAACCTATATACAAGCCTAACCCACTATTACCAACATTATTATAATTTATTCAGATATATAGGAAAATCGAGAACATTGAAAGAAGAGTGGTAGTAAATATGGCACTTATGACATAAATAGACAAACAAAATGATAAGAATGATAATCCCCGTATGACATTAGAGCTTGGACCTTGTTTTAGCTCTATCCCATAACAACAACTCGTTACAGTAATAATAATACCACATATACAATATACATCATATTTAAGTTGATAGTAAAACATGATTATTGTCAATGTATTCACCATGGTAAAATCTTACGTAGCTTTTTACCATGATAACATCTGACAATAAATCACGTTTTACTGCTCAAGACCTACCAAGATAAGTAACATATACAACATGATGACTTAAGTTTTCGTCAAAATAAAGGCTTAAAACGCTGTCATGATGACGGTAAAAATTTGTCATAATGACACTTTTATTACCGTCATCACGACCAAAAAAACCGTCATCATGACTATAAAAACCCCTTAAGAATCCAAAAAATCCGTCATCATGACGCATATGTGACTACTTTTTCTTTTCCTCCTTTTTCACCGGTTTGGCTGGTTGTTTTGGCTTTCGTCGGCCAGGTTTCGGGCCTTGGCCGTTCGGTGGGCCGGGAATGTTGATGGGGATAGTTGAGGTGGGTGGAGCTGGGGGTGGTGGGGCTCCGGGCAAGGCGACCGGCTTTGGTACGGGTGAGGTATGGCGATTTGCGTTCGTTGTGACAACAGGAGCGGGCGGTGCGGATGGGTCGGTTGCTGAGTATGGTGGTGGAGGCTCGTTTGAGGTCTAAAATCATTGAAATTGTATCAATAAGTATATAAAATAGGTAGACATGAGAAATGGGCCGGACCGGCCTTGAGCAAAATTTCGATCGGGCCGGGCCTGAAAATTGGGCCCGGCCCGTTTCTCATGTCTAAAAATAGGTATTAACCAGGGGCGTCGCCAGGAATGCTGCAAATCTGCGCGCAGTCTCTTCATTTCGCCACTCTCTCATTTCTCCGATTTGAGGGGATATGTCTGTCGTCTCTCCTTTTTCGCACGGGGTCTTCTTTCTCTCTCGCTCAAGTGAAAAAGAGCGAAAAAAGCGCGTCGCGCCTCTCTACCCATGCGAGAAATGGAGAGATTTGCAATGAAAAAACGAAGAGACGCAGACATTTCCCCTCAAATCGGAGAAATGAGAGAGAGGCGAGAGAACGTGGCGAAATGAAGAGACCGCGCGGAGAACTGCAGAATTCGTAGCGACGCCCCTGGTATTAACTATTCATTTTTTAGACTTCTAGTTACTTGGCATTCTGTTTCAAACCTATTACCTTCTGTTTTACCTACTCTCTAAGCCTTATTCTCCATAAAAACTCCACAAAACCCCTCCAAACCTACATTAACAGCCGGTGGCGGAGGAATCAGTGGTGGTGCCGTCAACGTGGGTGGTACCCTGCTCTGAGCCTGACCGTTCTGAACTTCGTTCCTCTGTCCTGACCTTTGCCTCCTTTGTCTGTTTTGTCGTTGAGCAGGCGCTGTTGTCGTTCTTGGCCGTTGTTGACCTTGTACTTGCCGTGCCTGCTCTTCTGCTACCGAATAGGCACCGTTCCTCTGCCGTCCTCGTCTCAACAACGTTCCTGGATGGCGGAGAGTGTCGGTAAAGTGTTGAGCTGGTAATTTGTTGGGGTTGGTTGAGGGAGTGTGGACGGCACAACATTTTACGAACAGTGCCATTAGGAACATGACTCCTACGCCTATTAGGATACAAGCCCACCAGTTCTCGCGGCTCCATTGCGACACAGTCTGGATGGTTTGTTTGTTGAATAAGAGGTTCTTGAGTCTTGCCAGAGGGCCGTTAGCGTCGACTGAGCGACATTTTCGGAAAATGTCACAGTAGCCCTTGTAGTTGTTGCATGGTGAACCTGGATGAAGCAGAAGGCCAGGTTTGCCTTCTCGGCTTTGCTGTTTGAAGACACCGGCGGCAAATTCTGGTAGCTCCAGGGTGGATACGCATTCTGAAAAACATAATTTTAAAAATTCAAAATTTTTATAACCAAAAGCCCCAGACCTCTATTTTAGATAACAAAAGGCCCCAAAAACATAGTTTAGGTAACAAAAAGCTCCAAAACCATATTTCAGGTAACAAATTGCAAAAACCCCTTACTCCCATTCTTTTCGCAAGCCAAATGACATAGCTGGTCTGGCTTTCCTTCCGTCAAGAAGCAATCCTTCAGTCCAACGCGAGCACAGATGCTGCCGTTACAGGCACCAGCGTGACACACTTTCGTAGCGTCTTGACACGGTAGTCCATCAACTTTCGGTCGACTTTCTGGACATTCTGCTTGATACCCGTTACAGAATTGACTGTATAGACACTCCGACTCTTCTCTGCACTTTCGTTTCGTATGTGCTGGGAAGAAGCCACAGCTCATGGCATCACAACATTGACCTTCGGAAGGTGAGCATCGTGCTCCAGGAAGACGTTTGCAAGCGCCGGATGTGAATCGACCATCGATCTCATGCGGCTGACAACAACGATCGTTCATTTGGGCACAATCACGGTCAGAGAAGCCACAATCACATTCCTCTCCCGGTTCTTTGATTTGGTTACCACAGAAGGCTGATGTGCGCTCCTGAAAAGATTTGATATAAAGTAAGATAATTTATAGGACCATAAGACGAAACAATTTTTAATCATTTTAAAACAGTATGGACAGTCATCTTTCTATAAAACATGTCATCATGACATAAAATATCAAAATTTTTTGTTTGAAGACCCCAGCTCACCTGGAAGCAATTCCTCTTCTTACTACTCATCATAACACTCGAGTAGGCTGGATTTACGGGTGGTTGTGCCAATACTTCATACAACACCACACTCATGTTAGCTATGGAGCATTTCGAAAACCTAGCATTATTCGGTTTATCTCCCGATGTTGCCGATGAAAACATGATAAAGTTACCATCGGGTAGACCTGGTTGACATTCCGATGGGTAATCATGAGGGGAGCCAAAGTTATGGCCGATTTCGTGAGCCAAAGTCAGTTGAGATACTCTGGCCGGAACTCGATTCCCGTAGTTGACTAGAGTGACGATACCTGTGTTGAGGGAGCGGGAGACCATGCCTCGTGAGCCTTCATTGTATTTTTGGTAGATTTGGCAGATTCCACCGGCGGTATCTAAAAGAAATCAATAGATCTACTGATAAAACAACTTCGAGCTAAAAATTTGCTACCCTGGTTAATATAAACCTATATATCTCGGCCGAATTTCAACCAAATTGTCTCCAATTTCGCACAAACCTTGCCACGATATTCTTCTACCATCCTCTAAAACAATATTTTACAAAAAACTTACTGTAATTTGGACTAGCGACCCAAGCCAATCCCAAAGTTCCACCAATGAAGTCTCTGAAGGTGAGAGCGTAAGCCAGACAAAATGAGGTGTGGTTTCGTTGAGAATTCAAATTTAGGTAGTTTGAGACATCAACATTGTCCGCACAGAAAGGATTATCCGAGTTTTCGGCCGGTTTTCCATTTAAACATGTTTCGTTTGTGAAAATCTGAAAAAATCAAAAATTTTAAAAAATGCTTTAAAATTTCAAAATTTTGAAAAAAATATAAGATATCATACAATACCAACGTATTTTACCACTAAAACGCCACAAAAAATCAAAACCTTACAGTAGTTCTCTGAATAACAAAGTTGAGACCAGTGATGCCGCCAAAGTTGGTGTTCTCGTAGATATGATTCACGGCTTTGATATGATTGTAGAAAAGTGATACGATTTCCTCTCTCGTCCTGATCGGATCATGGTTACCTTCTTTGTGGAACACGTGCATGTACAGTTTCTGGTCGGCTTGCATGTATATTGAACATGTTCGAACGCTATGAATTTTACGACCGTTTATTTCGAGAATTCGCTCTGGTAGTGCTCGTTTCGTCCTGTTATTGATACTGAAACAACATTTTAAAAATTTTTTTTCTTCAAGATTAGGCAGTATACTAAATTTTCTTTATTCTACAACAATTTGCAAGCCTTTATCTACCTTTATATAGAAATTAAGGTCGAAAAACAAAAGATTTTCTTGCTTTTTTAATACCAAGTGAAAAAACCGTATTTTATATTTTGAAAATGAAATTTCCTTACTGATCCTCCATTAAATTGAAGCTGAGATGTGACTTTCTCTTTATCGTTTCATTATATTCATTTAAAGGCTCAAATTTGTACGCAGCCGAGGTTTGGACTTTGAGCATCTCAGCTTTAGTTTCGGCATTCAATCCACAGCCATGATCAGCTAAAAATGTCATTCTTAATCAACCTTACATTTATATTCTCTACATTACACTATTTTCACTATTTTGACTTAATATCAACAGTTTTTTAAGTTAAAACCGCAAAAAAAACATAGTTTTTGATGAAAACTACCTAAAACAATATAATTTTGTCAATTTAATGTAACTTTATATCAACATCTATAAAAATTCTCAATTCTAGTCTTTTCTCCAGCTCTTAAAGCCACTTTCAATCATCTAAACACAGAAACATATAAAAAAAGTAAAAAACTCACCATCTCCATCATGATCATGAAGATGGCCATCAGGCCCTTCCTCCTCACTCTCTGCGCTTCTTTTCATTCGAAACTTGTTGTGGTTGATCTGTTCATCCTTATAAATTATCGAATGATAATTTTCGGGCCTTTTGTCCATGTCAAAATACCTGGCCGCCTTCTCAATCGTATACGTTTCTCCATTGCCAAGTATTATATGACCATCAAAGAGGCCATCCAACAAAGACCCGTACACTTTCGACCTCAGATCCCCTACTATATGTCCTTCGTACAGAAAGTTTGTGGGCTTCACCAAATGCGAGGAATATTCACCGTTCACGTCGAGGAAATGATCGTCCGAAAAGATGTCGTTACCTTCATCTGAGATAGGGTATAACTTCAAGTGGAATAATCTGAAAATAGGCAAATTAATCCTAAAATTAGTGACTCAGTCTAAATGTTATATTAGGACCAAAAAATACTATAAATAATCTAGAATTTTTTAAAAACGTCTATTTTTAGTTATATTAGACATCAAAGCCACATTAATAACGTTCTTGGCCAGAAATAGCTTTAAAACTTCTATTTTACGCCTAAATTAAACAAATACCAAAAAAATGTAACAACTTACTTGTTGTGACTTTTAAATCGAATAGAATGTGACCCATCCACATCTCTTTTCCTTCGATCCAGTATTGGTCTGTAACTCAATGTTTCAAAGTCGTCTACATATTTGTTTAATGCCACAGCTAAAATATTTTTTTGAAAGAAAGATATTTATTTTAAGCTTCTATCTAAACCATAAAATCACATCCTTATCAGCTATCAATTGCAAAAGAAAACTTTTTAGTTCTACACAATAATGGCTAGTGCAATACCTAAATTAGTCCACACTAAATTTCTAAGATAAAGTGTTGTTTCAAAAAATGCTCTGGAGATATCTCAATACTCTTATGCTACTATGCAATATAAAATAGACATTAGCTTTCCAATTTATCGACCATAAATCAACCATTTTTTAGAATTGAACGAAAACGTCAAGTGTAATATCTAGATCGCTTCCGAACTAAACTTTACAACTAAGTTTTGACTTAAAATTAGTTCTAGCTCCTTGCCCAAAGTCTTCTCCTCAATTCCTAAACAAAAAAACCCATAAACCAAGAGCTACTTACCATTCTGTATTAAATTTCCTATTACCAACAATAGAACCAACAAATATTTTTGCATTGTAAGGCAAGAAACGGCCTGAACGGCCGGCAGTGTCGTGACACTAATAATACCCGAATTTTGAAAGCCCCTGAAAGCAAATAAAGCTCGAATTAACTTGCATACAAACAGGTATTGTCACAAAACGCGATATTATTCACGAAACGTCAAGCGTAAAAAATATGTTTTTCGACTTTCACAAGGTAAAGTAGTTTTTGCATAAAATTCGACATGAAAACAAATATAATCGAATTAAAATAAAGTGTATGACCATTACTTTCAGCGCAGTGTCAAATTGGCAAAAAAGAAAAAAAGTCGCGCACGCAATGAGACGGAATGCCAACACTTGCGAATCGGGCGGGTAAATGAGGATTTAAATTAGACTTTAAGCAGAAAAAATTAGATAATTTTGAGTTAAAATACGTCTTTTTCTATAATAATCTTAAAACTTTATTATATTTTAATGGTTTTAGAAGTTTAAAGAATGATCCATGACAACCTAAAACAATATAAATTTAAAAAAAGGTCTGTCATACAAAAAATTGTACTATAACCGCACTTTTGCGAAGCACTTCATCCTGCCAATCCAAAATTTTTAATTACCTTGCAAATTTTAAATAGCCTTGTCTACCGTCTCTCCTTTTCATACACTATTTTGTCAAACCCATAATTAGAAGCTCTAAAGTGCAAATTTTAGGCGACTTAAAAATAAAAAATGTAACCAGTTAACTATTGAGTAGTTTTTCCGTACGAACCACAAACTGCAAAATCTTGTTTTTTGACAATTTCCGAAATTCCCGGGAGGCAAATGAATTCTGCCGGAAATATTGAGAGGAACGTCATTTTGACATTAATTGCAAGTGTTTGGGAGAATGGTACTATTTGGGCATGAAGCGAAACGTTTCTAACATATTTTGGCAGATTTGAAGGGAAAGATTTAAAAATTACATCAAATTTCAAAAAATTTTTTTTTATGTTAAAAATTTTAGTTTTTCCAAAAAATGTGTCATCCTAAAGCCAAAAAATGTGAAAATTAAGTCATTTTAGACTTTTTTTAATTTATATCGTAATTTTAACAAAAAGTCAAAATTCCAGAAAAGCAGTCATTCTTTTAAAAAATGTGTCATCATGACACAATTTTTTCTTAATTTTATTATATTCAAGAGTAAAATACGCGTTTAAACAAGACGTGTCTTTATGTCAAAAATTTGATACACCAATACATACATGAAAGTCATCATTTCTAGCACACAATGTATTAGGCTGTTCAAATAATTCTGAGCCCCTTCTCTATGCAAATTTTCGGGGTTAGGAGGCACATAATTACTTGAAAAAATTAATATTTATTATAATTATGAGGTTGTTCAAATAATTCTGTGCCCCTCTCAAAGCTTGGGCACAGAACTATTTGAACAACCTAATAAATCAAAAATGTTGGCGAAATCAGTTGATAAAATCCGGATATTTTTGAACGAAAAATTCCAAAAAAAAGTGTTCGGATGGAGCGACATGAGTCAGCGAGAAGGTTAACGTCGTTAGAGGATTGGGGTCATGTGTGTATAAGGATGAGAGAATTACTCTGGTTAAGGTGTTTTTGGCGACAAAACTATGTACTTTCGCGACAGTTTAACATCATGAAATCTCGAAAGATCAAATTTTTAAATTTTGAAATATAATATATTGTTAGGAGCAGGTGATGACCTAGTGTAATATATACTGTAATAAATGGAAGTATGAAAAGAATTTGGGTTTGTGAGCAAGCAGGGCCGGGCGGGGACTTTTGGTCTGGGGGCAGGGGTCCAAAAAATCCACAGGGGGGACCATGTTCAAATTTTTTCGAAAATTTTTTTTCTGGGGGGGGGGTACTACCCCCCCCGTCCCCCCCTCGCGCCCGGCCCTGTGAGCAAGAGAAATAAACTTAAAGGTTACACAAGGCTTAAAAGTCAAAAAATTTTTTTTTTCCAAAAAATCCACAGGGGGGGGTCCACTTTCATCTCCAAATATCCCTCGGGCTTAAAAAAATCTCATATATTGAGTTGTATAAAAAAGATTAAGCTACACTTAAAATTTTGAAAAAGTTTTTATATATCACCACAAACCCCAAACTTTTAATTAAAAAATCAAAATTCCAAATCCCCCCATGCCCAGACACAAACAAACCAATTACTTTCTAACCAGCTTCTACAATACGTAATAGGAAGAGAAATGAAGACCGCTGATCCGCTCCCCGTTTCTTTCTGTGGAGTGGACGGCGCTTCTTCACATTGCGATCGCTCACAGTCGAAGAAAGGAACGTCGGGAGCTTCCAAAGCCGTCTTCAAGGCCAAAAGGAGAGAATTGAAAAAAGATCGAAATTATAGGGTAGCAGGCTTAATTTTAAGGTTTTAAGATTGTCCAAGACCAAATTTTTTTAATTTTTTTAAAATTCTAGAAAATGCGTCATCATGAAAATAATTTTTTTTAAATTGCAAAATTGAAAATTTTTTAAACATTTTTTGCAGTAAATTTAACAAAATTTCAAATTTCTAGAAAACATGTCATCCTCCCAAAAATATGTCATCATGACATAGCTCAGAATGAAGATAGCAACACAAACTGTAAAACACTTTATTTTCAGACACTAAAATTACAATAAAAAATTCATGACTTTTAAAAGGAATATAATCATAATAAAAAATAATCTTTTTATAACCGGAAAAATAAGTCATCATGTCGCGCGCGAGTAAAATTTTTAAATTTTGTCATTATGACGTATTTATGAATTTAACTAATTTTCAATTTTTAAAATTTTTTAAAGTCCTCTTATAATATTCCTTTGACTAAAAATAAAACTACATTTTAAATTAAAAATACGACTATATAATTAAAAAAGAACGGCACAATCCCAGTAATAATACATTGCTTTAAAGCAAGGTTTATTAGTATTCGTATACAGCTACCCTTATGTTTAATGGGCTTTCCCAACTCGAGTTTTATATTCATTTGTCGGTGTATGTAAATTACCCCATCTCGCTTTTTTTCGTCCAAAAAACAGCCTCCCCATCTCTTAAAACCCTCTACTCAACCCTACTCTGGTTTGAAATTGTTCAAATAATTCTGAGCCCCCTCAAAGCAATTTTTTTGAAACTTTGCTTTGAGAGAAAGCTCAGAATTTATTGAACAACCTCATATCAAATAATAAAAACGCAATAAACTTGAAAAAACGATGTTAACCATGTTAACCACGTTCTACCTCAATGTTTTATAACAAAACCCGAGGTTCAGAACGATCTTCCCCCACCCGATTGTAAGAGACGACCTCGAACAATAAAATAACTTGTTCCCAAAAGTTTTAACACACTTTTCGTACGAATTTCGAAGAGAAAGAGCCATGAGAAAAGGGCAAAAATATCCAAAAAAACCCTCGAGAATGAATGGACAATACTTACTGGAGGTCACACATGCTTTTACGTCGACACCAAAGCGGATTCGAAACGGCGCCAAAGTTTCGGACATTTTTTTCGAAAATTTGAATTTTTAATAGCGCGCAAGTGAAATTTTAAAATTTTTCGAAATTTTTAAAGAGGTGTCATCCGTCCAAAAAATGCGTCATCCCAAAAATGAAAATTTTTAAAATTCAAAATTTTAAGTCTTTTAACAGTTTTTGAAGTAAATTTCACAATATTTAAAATTTCTCGAAAATGCGTCGTCCGTCCAAAAAAAGCGTCATTCAAAAAACTAAAATTTTTCAAAATTGAATAATTTTAAAGCCTTTCAGCAGTTTTTAAAGTAATTTTTAACAAAATCTCAAATTTTCAGAAAAATCTGTCATCTGCCCAAAAAAATGTGTCATAGATCAGAACGAAGCTAGCAAAACAAAAACAAAAAGGGCTAGTCCTATCTATGTAAAAGTTCTAGCCCTAGCCAATATAAGCGTTTCCCACTGTACATGTTTTCGATTCCTTTAAGCAAACTCTAGCCTAAAACGGTTCCCAGGATTTGAGAAAAAAACAAAAATTCAATCAAAGTCGCTTTTGTTTGGATTCCCATTTTAATTTCAGTCCGACGAAATTAACATTTCTGAATTTGAAATTGCTTTGGAAAAGTAAAATATTTGTGTAACAAAGCTACTTAATGGTTGAAACATAGCATGTCATGATAGTACGATGAAGTATTACTTTTAAAAAATTAAAAATAATTTTTAAAAACATTTTTTTGGGAGCAGTAATGGACAAGACGTATTTTACATAATTTTAAGACATACAACACCAACTTGCTATAGTTACGGTTAAAGCCGGAGTAAGATAGAAAAAAGTTAGGCTTGGATAAAGATGTCGACAGTAGAAGACTAGGGCTAGAGCTAGTGCTAGAGTTTAGGCTAAAGCTAAAGGCTACGGCTTTGGATGATGCTGGGCTGGGGCTAGAATTAGGGCTAAGGGTAAAGTGTAGGACTAAAGGCTAGGGCTAAAAGCTAATGTTAAAGGCTAGGACTAGAACCAGGGCTTCAGGCTAGGGCTAAAGGTTAGAGCCAAAAGCTAGACCTAAAGGCTAGGGCTAAAGGCCAGGGCTAGAGGCTAGGGCTTAAGGCTAGGGCTAAAGGCTAAAACTAGGGCTAGAGCTAGAGTTAGAGCTAAAGGCTAGGGCTAAATACTATGGCTAGGGCTAAAACTATGGCTAGAGCTAAAGGCTAGGGCTACAGGCTAGGGCTATGGCTCGGGCTAAAAGCTAGGGCTAAAGGCTAGGGTTAGGAATAAATGCTTGGGCTAAAGGCTAGGGCTAAAAGCTAGGGCTAAAGCGTAGGCTGGAACTGGCTATGAGGCTAAGTATGGGTCTAAAGGCTGAGGTTAAAGACTAGGACTAAAAGCTAGGACTGAAGACTTACATTAGAGTCAAGCAAAGTCTTAGCGCTAGCGCTGGAGGTTAGACTAAAGGCTAGGATTGGAGCTATAGCTAGGGTTAAGTCTAAAGGCTAGTACTAAGCTAGGGATAGAGCTAAGCCACAGGCTAAAGCGAGGGCTAAAAGTTAGAGCTAGAACTAAAGA